ACTCGCAGTTTGCCCAATGCCGCGGGACCGCTTTGGAGGGCATCAGCAACCTCGAGAGCGAGAGCAAGGAGTTGAGAAGCTTGCTTTCACAAAAGGCGGACTCAGACAAGCTTGGCAGTCTGTACAAAACGGTGCAAGCATTGTCAGCGTCGTCGCAGGACAAGGGCGACGCAGTGAAGAACTTCCAGCAGGGGTTGCAGCATTTGGAGGCTCTACTTGAAGAGAAGGTTGCTGCTATAGACTCGCAGTTTGCCCAATGCCACGGGATCGCCGACGCAGTGAAGAACTTCCAACAGAAGTTGCAGCATGTGGAGACTCTGCTTGAAGCGAAGGCCACTAAGATAGATGTACGGTCAGCCCAGTACAATGGAATGGCCAGTGTCATACAGGAGCCGGAGAGAAGGAACAATGACAAGGACGTCAATGGCCTTGACCGTGGGAGTGCAGAGGCAACAGTCACAACTTTCCGAAAGGCTGCCACAAAAGCTCTCAGCAAGGGGGTGGTGGTCCACCGAAGCATCAGAAGCCGGCGAAGACTAGCGAGGCAACGTCACAGAGCAAAGCTGCAATGCCAACAGCTGCCAGACGATGGCCCCTCCAAAGAAGCGTAATTTTCTGTGCCTGCAGCGTGGGATCAAGATCCGACCAACGAAAGCGAGGTGGAGCAGGCCAAGTACATTTGGTGTCTGGCAGATCTGGAGGGCCCGGATTCTGCTTAGCCAGCGACCTGATGAAGAACCTTAAGCCCAGCACCCGTAATTTGCTCGAATCTCTAGCCGCAGTGCACTGCGGTGTGGCTAAAGATTCGAGCAAATTACAGTGCAGAGCAACATTGCTCCGAACGCGTGAGTACAGTTTGCATAGCATCCACCGGAATTCACCAGCCAAAGCCAGATCAAATATGGCTTACCGCCCTTGGTCCACGGAATATCACGGAATGGAGTCTCGTGCCTCGAACATGCTTCCGTGTAAAACCTCAGAAGCTCTCTCCGCTCAGATGTGAGTTTGCTTTCATGGCAGAGTGACCTGTTCATCGTCCGGTGATCGGTAAAGTGCTGCTGGACACTCCCGTAGTCAGAGCCTTTTATGTGGGCAGCAGCCGTTCAGGCACCTTGCACCTGCTGCCCCCACGAAAAAAACAGCTTGGCTCGTACTAGCAGTGGAAGATGAGCGTAGCAGTTTTGACATGAGCTGCAATCAGGCACTCCAGTTTGGAGCAAAGAGCCCTCGCCAGAGTCGATGAT